TCCCACAAACCCTCGAAGCTGTCAATGACATAGTCCTAAAAGGCTGTTATATCCATGGGTTTCTGAGGTTTAGGAGGGCGCCTGATAGCAGCGATCCCGGGCATGAGTGTGGTCTGGCGTCTTGATGGTCCAGCCTATGCAGCAGCAGCAGAAGTGGAAGCGCCAGCAGAGGCTCCTCGAGGACGTTGCGGAAGAAGACGCAACAAAGCCGGGTCAGGCTGAAAACACAGATGGCGTAGATCGCCCTGGATCATAGTGAGTGCCCGGTTTGGCAACTGTATGCCAACATACTCCCCAGCAGGAGTAGTGAAAATCCAGAGCAATCTCTGCTTGAGCCAAGTAACATGGCCCAAATGTGCCTCATCCATAAGAGCTCACTCAATGATAAAGTTGCAAGGAGCTGTGTCGATCTGAAAGTGCTGGAAGATAGGGGTGAGAAGGCTGCCAACGCTCTCACTCTTCTCCCCTGGACTGGTAAATGGTTTGGCCTTCAGAGAGACCAAGTGCTCAGCAAAAATGGCGCCCATATTGGCACGGACCATGCTCTCCATGGGTATCTAATCATCCAGCATACTAGCGAAGCCGTAGTTGAGCAGAACAAGCTCGCTGACACGCATCTTGCTCGGCGCAGACTTGCAGAGGATGGTGTTGCCTAGAAGGCGCAGAATGTACCTCATCACGGGATGTCAAAAGTCAGTCTGTGTGCTCGTTTTACTTTCATAGATGCCATGACCGAACTTGGACCAGAAAGTCTGCATGTGGGTCCACTGCGAAGGAGTAAGGACTCCTGAAGGATGGTCATCGAAGCTATAAATCCCGCAAAGCTAAAAGAGACTGAGCATGTAGCGAATCCCTCTGATCAGAAAGGTAAGCGTGCCCTGCTGCGCTGTCTTGGCAATCTCGTTCTCGTAGTACACGCGAACGATGGAGAGGAATTGGCGAACTAGATCGGGGTACATATCGTACTACTGTGTCGCCATCGTGCCCTTCCTGATCCTCTCGAGAATCTGCAGAACCTCATCCTTAATTCCTATCTAATGCAGCGCTGTGATGTCCGCAAATCTGGTTGGAAGGATCTTCACGTCTTGCCACGTATTGTAGAACAGTGTGTCATACTCATCCCAATCTTCTTGTATCTCTCGCCACCTCCTGTTTCGGGGTCCCTGCCCAAGCTACTGTGGAAGTGATTTTCCTATCCTCTCTCTTAGGCCATGGATGCCGACACACTGGTCTCATGCTGTCTGATTGCGCCGAACCAGATGCATCACTGGAAGAAGATACTGGTTGTTTTCTCTTCTCATGTGGAGCCATCTGAAAATTCAAACCAAGAACAACAAAAAAATCAACAAAATAAGCCAATTTTCGAAAAATCGAAAAAATCAATGAATCAGAGTGAAATAACTAATGGCGATCAATCACAGCAGTACCAGGAACACAATTAAATCACAACTTCAACCCAAATCACCCAAAATTTCTAGATTTTTGCAAATTTCATCATGAACTCGAAAATTTAAAAACTTGCAAATCAACCATTAATATCACATATGGATGGTATCATTCATCTAATACAGCCTAAATAGCCATAATTGAACAGTTAAATCAAGCTAAACAAGTCGAAAATCAAATTTAACCAAACCTATAGCAGACTGAAAATTGAAGATTCCGAAAATATACTTTGAAGATCGTGAAAACTAATGAGAGATTAACGGATTAGGCTTTTGAATCACTCAATTTGGTTAAAAAAATCAAAAGTTATGATTTGGAGAGTTCTAAGTGTTCGTTTGTGTTTATCAGTTATGACACGAGGAAGAAGAAGAAGGAATTAAGATGCGTACCTGAGTCTTAGTTTCCCTTTTTTTTTTATTAACTAAAACCAAAACTATATACACGAAAATAATGCTAAGTACATGAAAAAGAAAACTTAGCAGTGGGTTGCCTCCCACCAAACGCTTGTTTAAAGTCATTAGCTTAATTTTGAATGCTATTTAGACGGCTAGTGCATCATCCAGAGATACAATATGTCCTGCTGGAATCTCGGCTTGTGCCCAATAATGTTTCACCCTCTATCCATTGAAAGTGAACTCCTCTCCTTTGGAGTTGATCAGGACAATGGCGCCATGTGGTCTAGCCTCTTTGACAGTGAAAGGACCTGACCAACGAGATCACAATTTACGAGGAAACAACTGTAAACAAGAGTTGTAAAGAAGTACCTGGTCATGGGGCTCAAAATGTCTGGAGATGATCTTTTTATCATGATATGCCTTTGTCCTCTCCTTGTTGAATTTGGAGTTTTCATAGGCCAGATATCTGATTTCATTCAGTTCATTGAGCTGAATCAAGCGCCTCTCTGCAGCAGGCTTCAAATCGAAGCTCAGCTTCTTGATAGTCCATTCTGCTTTGTATTCTAACTCCACAGGAATATGGCATGCCTTGCCATAGAGAAGATGGAATGGTATAGTCCCAAGTGGTATTTTGTAGGCACGCCTGTAAGCCCACAGTGCATCATCCAATTTCACTGACTAATCCTTCTTTGTCTTCCCCACAGTCTTCTCCATAATGTGTTTGATTTGTCTGTTGGAAACTTCAACTTGTCCACTGGTCTGGGGATGATACGGCGTGGCCACTCTATGCTGAACACCATACTTCTTCAGCAGCTTGTCAAAGACATTTTTAATTAAGTGAGAACCATCATCACTGATAATAATTCGCGGGACACCAAATCTGGGGAAAATAAAGGTCTTAAACAGCTTAAAAACCACTGCAGCATCATTGGTAGGAGTAGCCAACGCCTCTACCCACTTGGATACATAATTAACAGTAACAAGAATGTATCTGTTCCCATAGGATGAAGGAAAAAGGCCCATGAAGTTAATGCCCCAACAGTTAAAGACTTCAACCTCAAGAATGAAGTTTTGTGGCATCTCATGTCTTCTGCTAATCTTCCCTCTCCTCTGACATGTATCACAGCGTGTAATGAATGCTTGTGCATCCTGAAACTTAGTAAGTCACCAGAAACCAGCTTGAAGAACTTTGAAGACTGTTTTGAATGTGGCAAAATGTCCAGCATGCTCTGAGCCATGATAGTGAAACAGGACGTTTGGAACCTCTGCTTCTGCTATGCATCTCCTGTAAATCTCATATGCGCAATGTCTGTAAAGATATGGCTCATCCCAGTAGAATCTCCTAAGTTCTCTCAAGAACTTCTTCTTAGCATATCCCTTGAAATCATGTGGTTCATCTTCTGCAGCTAAGTAGTTGGCAATACCAGTATACCAGGGCCTCTTAGGATCATTCACATCATAGACTTGCTCTTGAAAGGCAGTCCCCCAAGCTTGTACATATTGTTGCCAATAGCTGTGATGGGTGACGAGCGTCACCAGAGTGGGTGGCGATCGTCACAGGGGTCGTTTCACATATTGATCGCGAGTCTGCCGAAGTGGTGACGAGCGTCACCCTCCTGGTGTCGCTCGTCACTGTCTTGTAGTTGCGAGAAGATTGCAGATTTTCAATATTTTCTTCCTGCATTCGAGTCTCTATCAGATAAACATTCTCCTCAGGAAAAAGATCATTGATTGGCATGTCATCTTCAATCCTTATCCTAGAGAGATGATCAGCAACTCCATTCAACTCCTTTCTTGATCCTGGTAATTTCAGCTCAAAATCCGCATTAAACTTTATAATTTTCACCCTGTCCCTCCATCAGAGCCTCTCCCTTCCTCTATTGCACCACCCCCTTCTCTCCACCACTCTTTATCTCCTTTAAACTCCCTTTCTTCTTTGGTGTGGTAGCATGCATTATCTTCCTCGACCCTCCTCCCACAATGAATGATGATTTAAATAGTCTCTTCTTTGCTCCTGCTTTTGCTGGTGGTTTCATCCTCTCAGTGGGGATATTGTTGTCAGGTTCAGTTTCCAAAAGGCTGTTCCCCTTGATCAAGATATAGAGCCTCGATTTCGATACTGTCAAATCCCGGGGGTTGAGCTGCACCTTCTTCCTCTAATATATCCTCCAAATCAGCGATATCAAAATCACTAGAAATATCATCCATAAGCCCCTCTTGGTCAGAGCCAAAATCAACGATTTGATCAACTTCTGCTCTACCGCCCTCCTCCTCTTGAACCCCTTGCCTCTGCTTCCGCCATAACTGCTTTCTCAGATTCTTCCATGACAACTTGATTACTCCCGGTATTCAAATCATCCATTGTCATAGTGTTATCCTCAAACATTAAGCCTTTTCTAACCTTCTTGGCAGAATATTTAGGAGGGCTGTCTTTATTGCTTCCCCCATGCTTGTTCTCTGTCCCTTACTTCGTTTTATCCTTAATGCTGGTTAGCCCAGAAGGACGATTCTCTTTAGACCGGCGGATGCTTCTTGAAGTTCCACCAAGCGGCTTCCTGTCCTCTCTCGGTGGTAAAGGTCTGGAAAATCTCCTCAATGAATCGCCATTCACCTTCCGTTGTATCCCCCTGATCGAGGGAGTCTCTGCTCCTCTCGGATTTCCGTTAACACGCCCTTCCCTCTGGAGGATTCTTCCAGCGGTTCTCCCTGATCAGTGACATCCTTCGTGCTCTCTCTCGTGCCCCGAACTGCTCCCTTATAGCTCTTTGCTCCCCCCTTCTGGCTTCTCCTCTGAATACCGCATCACATCTCTTTGTTCCCTCTTCGGTAACAAAGTGGGACATCTGCTGGATTCATGGCAGAGGCTCAGGCATTCCCTGCAGTATCCATACAATCGCTCATACTTCAGAATCACAGTAGTCTCTTCGCTGCTGTGGAATTCCACTGTTGTCTCGAAGATTATTGGTTTGAACCCGTCAATGGCTATTTGTACCCTTCCTCCATCCAAGTCAACTTGCTTCACTGTCCTAATGGCTTGTCCAATACTACGAAATATAGGCTCAGCCCAGAAGTGGAGGGGGACTCTCATCATTCGGACCCAAAAGATGATCACTGACGGGTAGTTATGCTCCATAATTGGCTCCCATCATACAAGTGCCATCATCCATCCATCGAAATGAAATGGTCCCATTTGTAAAACCGCCTGGATTCTTCCTCATCATCAAAATTGAACTGGAACCTCCCCATTCTAAGATCTGCTCCCGCCACACGCTCTTCAACCTTCCAGATTCTCGGTAGCATGAATAGAAGCGCCTTCATCTCCTGAACCGTTGGATTCATACAACGGCCAATGAGAGTGCGATTGTAACCCTTGATGAGCTCTGTGTTATCGAAATAGGGGACGATGATCTTTAACCGTGGCGCCAAAGTTTCCTTTCTTTTGCTTGAACCTCCCAGAACCAGTTGATTTGCTTGAGCCATCACTAAGCCTGAGAACTCAGATTTGAGAAATGCTAGTAAGAAAAAGAAAAGAGCGAAGTGAAGAAAGTGTGAGTATACAATCCACTCTACGACATCCCTTATAATATTCCCATCGTCAACCACAGTCCCATATAAAGCAACTGATATTAATTCCAGATGATAAACAAAGTATTTGCCATATAAGACACTAATCAGTGCAGTTAGTATCTACAAGAATCTCATTACCTCGATCAAAGACGATCCTTCCTTAACCCTGTGATTTCCCATTAATGCAGGAAAACCAAAAATCCCCAAAGGTCCCAATTCTTCAATCTCCAGTCATTGAATCCATAACACGCAGATCAGATTATGTTTACTTAAGTCACCTCTTCTCGGAAACATATACCAGTATCCCATGAATCCTCCCGAGATCCTAGTATCCAAAAAAACTCCGTTAATTTTTGCTAATCGAAGATTCCTGATCTGAACCTTGATCTCCAGCGTTATGGAGTTTAATTTATTCCTGAAATAATAATTGAGATAAAACATGACCTGAAAATATAGGTTTCCGTTTTCAATCCCTTTTTGAGTCCGAGATTTCCAATTTCCTATATTCACCCAAATCCTGTATCTTGCCCAAAGCCAGATCATCGTCATGTTATAAATTCCCAACCCATCTCCTCGCCCACGCGTAATTTGATTTACCCTCAGAAAGAATCGGATCCTCCTGAGCCAGATTCCGCGGGATCCCAACCATGATCTCCAGATCTTGGAAAGCCTGAGCGACTCCTATAAATTAAGCGAAAGTCCTATTGTTTCCTTCTAGATTGCATTGTGATTCTTCTTACCATTAGATCCTTCAATCCAACAAATTCCAATTGATCCTCTCAAAAGATTAACCGTAGATCCTTGAGAATCCTAAGGCTCGGTGTGAATAGCCATTTTTTTTATATATAATAGAAAAAAAACATGTAATCATAATTTTTTACTTACAGTGTCATCTTCTGATGCACCACTTGGATGCATGTTCTCCACTTGGATCACACAACTCTTTAAGCTTCTAACAGCATAAAGCATGGTACCTATCCTACCTTGTAGAGATCCGTCGCTTCTACTTTCCCAACTTTTAAGTTTTTTTTTCATTGTAACTTATTTTTATTTTTTTCCATAAGTTCCTCAAAGTTTGGATATTACTTTCAATTTGATCTTGTGATATCTCTAAATAGACACTACATAATAACTCATCTTCTTGTTGAGAAAATGATGAGGCCCGAAGTGTGATTTTTTTCCATTTCTTAAAGTCTATTTTTATACTACAATTACTGTCATTGGATAGGATTTCAATCCAAGGGTTGGTGATAAATGAGATCTACTGAATGGTATAGATTGAATTCTCAAGATTTTCTTATATGATATATTGATAACTTAAATTTGGATATGATTTTAATCTAACGATTAGTGACAAGTGAAATATAATGAAGGATGGAGATTAAATTCTGAAGATTTTCAAATATAAAACTACCCAAATTCCGAGGCAAATGAATCACAAAGGTACTATGCTCATTCACCTATATAGTTTGCCTATATATTCGTCTATATTTAAAGTATGTTTTATAATTATTAATGAAATTTTTACAAGTATAAGTGATTATAGTTAAAATGAAGTACTATAATGTAATATATAATAAATATTTAAAAATAAGGATAAAGGCAACTATTGGAGCGAAACAACACAAATCTTTATTTTAAAGATCTTCCACCCTTATTTTAAGGGTGGCTCTTGGAGATGCTCTAAAGATAACGTATATATCTGTAGACAACTAGTACAACAAGTATTCAGTTGTACCAAGTTATGCTAATATTACATATAAAATCTGACTAGTTTTATCTAGTTCTACCAGTATTGCATATAAAATCTGACTAGTTTTACCTAGTTCTACCAGTATTCGACTAGTTTTACCTAGTTCCACCAATATTACATATAAATCCGACTAATTCTATCTAGTTATACCAGTATTACATGTAAGAACCCACAAATTCTAAATCAAACCCCAACCAGAATTCCAATCAGAATTCCCATAATTGACATCAAAAGCAAAACAAATCACGAAACTTTTCTCCTTCTTCTTCTTCTATATTCTCCTCTTAGCCTTTTTCTTCTTCATTCTCATTCTCGTCCTGACACCTCCTTTCTTCTTCTTCTTCTTCAGTTGGTCCGCCTTTCTCACCAATCGAAACCACATATTCCTCCCTCTTTATTTCTTCTTGAACCTCTTCGTTCGTTCTGACATTCTCAATAATCGTAGCTGGATCTGAACCCCTTTCTTCATCTCGAGCGATTCATATTTTCACGAAGAGAGATGAATGACAAAGAGTTAGAGAGGAGGCGTTTGGTTGAAAATATACAGCTTTTAGGTTTTAATCGTATCGACCCATATGAATTGGGTTTGGGTAGATTTGAGATGCTTGGATCAGTAATTTTGAAAACAATTAAAAAATAACAATGCAATCTACTTATTTTTGGAATTAAAAATAAATCAAAACAAAATTCAATCAAGAAAGGGCATATTTGAGATTTAGTTTTAAGTTTCAGGGACATATGAGATGAATCCTCATATACAACCCGAGTTATCTAAATTTTCATATACGAATAGGTTATTTTATTCTTAAGGGTAAGACATCTTCAATAAAATGAAACATTTACATAAAATACTATTTTCATGACTTCTAGAGCATTTTTCCCAACTAAAGTATTTTGGATGTACTTTTCCATACTTTTCACATTTGTTTTGTCTATTAAAAACTATGATATATCTTATCTTGTTTTCCAGTTAGACTCCTTGTCTACTCATCATTTTTCTATTTAAACTCTTGTATGATCACTTAAAATAACAATTATCTTTTATCAAACTTTGAGAGTGATTCTCTTTTGCTCCTTAGGAACATTTCCTATCCGTTGTGTGTAATATCCATTGATCAAAACTTGATCTGTCTTGCTGCATTATATCCAAGGGGTCCTGTAGATTGTTTGGTGAATTATATCCAGTCAGTCGACTGTAAGTTCGTCTTAGTGTGTCATATCTAAGGGATTCAAGTTGTGGTAAATCAGGAGTTATATTACAACTTCTATGCGGCATTGCGATCCATCTTTCCTTGTTCTTTGAAGTTCATTGGTTCTTAGTTTTAAGTTATATCCATCTTTCATCCGTCAACTAAACAGTGATGCAAAGGAGAGGTTATTAGACCAACGCCCATCTTTCCCAAACCCACACCTAAACCCAAATCCAAGCCTGAGTCACTCTTGCTTCATCCCGGTGCACGCACATGTGGTTTAGCATAGATTCACTCTTCTCTACCACTGGCTTTAGATACTTTACCTTTTTAGGACTTTTTCACAATACCCATTATTTCATTTTACTCTTTTTAACTAATTATTTTGCACAAACATTTCCCCTTCAAACAAAAATCAATTTTGACATATTAGTATACTCTATTAAATGTTCGTGGTAATGAAATCATCATGGTCATAATCCGTTTATTCATTCACCCATGAACATGTCTGAAAAGTTGGTTGGAATTAAATTGGTACAACATGTCTTACAATTGACTTCCAACACATTAGAAGCTTAACTTCAGTTAAGTTTTAAAAAGATAGAGAGGTTTATATGTTGGAGTTGAACATAAACTTGGTTATAATTCCACTTACACTTCCAAATATGGTTTTTCATAATAACCTTCAAACATGGATGATGTATTCTCTCAAATATGTTAGATTAAATTGCAAAAAATTGTAGTGGATGTAGGACCGAGAAAATCCTGATTTCAAATTACGAATATAAATCGATAGAAATCTCTATATTAAATTATAATATTGTATAAAACTATTGAACAAAAACGATTAAGAAAAGAGACGAATACACAGAGTCAAGATTTGATATATTTCCTTAATTCTATAATCTCATGCAGTGTGATGGTTTTAAGAGATTCAGAATACCATGATACAACCGTGTTTGAGATTAAAGTCGCAGCACTCGACTATAGAATATGTAAACGAAACATCTACATTAAACTCTCGAGACTTACCCTAAGATTATAGAGATGAGAGGGATTTGCTAAAAAAATTTATTTCAAAGCTTATTGCTTTTCTGGATGACTAATAATGAATAGGTGAGGTTCTTATTTATAGTGGAAGAGAGGCTTGTAGTAAAAGGCCCTTGCCTTATTAGTTACGAAAGATAAACGGAAATATTTTGAATATCTTTGTTCCTTGTTCGATAAGGTTATGGAAAAAGTATAAATATATTGAAAACCTTTATTCCTTGTTTGACAGAGAAAACTAAAATATTACAAATATATATATCCCTTAGATTTTACAAGGATAAAGAAATGAAAATATTTCGTAAAATAATTTGACTCAATCAATAAAGATTTATCGATATTATGTAAAATTTAAAATTGAAATTGAAAATTTTATTAAATAAGTCAATAAAGATTTATTCAAAAAAAAAAGAACTTCTTTTGTGGTTTTGCATAATAGCTTTCATACTACCAATGTGTGACAAATGCATATCTTGACTTTTAGTCTTGATTACATGTCCACTTTGACCATTGATTACTTATTCAAATTAATTTTGATTTTGACAAGTAATTACACTGTCTATTAATGCTCATTACAAGGATTTCAAAAATTCTATAATTGCCAAAATTTAAATTCCAACATTTTTCCACATGAATATAAATTATACTAAACTTATGTGATACAAGAGCTTTTATCTCTTATGACTCAATTCCTCAAGTATAAAACCATGTCACTGAAGTAAAAGAGGTTATCAATCCTTCATGGGGATAGTGTAATGAAGATTCAGAAGTTGAAACAAAACTACGAACAGCCTAAAACATGAAACTTAAACCAAACAATTGCAGTGCTGAAATTCACAAAACAGAGCAATAAAGGATGACTTAAACAATGAAAGCAAAAAGTGGTCCCAAGATCGAGAAATGAAGTTAGGATGACTTTTTGA